TGAAAGGAACTCTGAATGTTTCAGCATAGCAAGACATTTGGATAATTCCATGCTGCCAAATGTGTGGAACAATTTGGAGCTGTCCACTCTCTCTTCCAACATGACTGTGCATCAGTGCACACATCACTGTGCATAAAGACTTTGATGGCGGAGTCTGTTGTTGATGACCTTCACTGGCCTGCACAGAGCCCTGATATAACACCTACTTCCATAAAGGAGGTTTTGCATGGAGGAGAAACCCAAATGCTAAGCTCTCCAGGAAATGTGCTTAATAATTTTATCTGTATCCCTTGATTTCTCCTTATGGCAAAATCACAATTTTGTTTTTGGCTTTTGATTTTTTAAATACTTTCTATTTATTTGTGCACATAGTTTAAAGATGTGGACAGTTTTCTGCTTCAATCGTTTGAATTATAGTTCTTCTTATGTCTCATTTAATATAGAAAGAATAGGCTCTGGGGTTAAAAAACAAATACAATTATTATTTAGTAATGAGTAACATAAACTTACAAGAAAATAATTATTTTTTATATTTGTGTGCTGGACAAGCATGTGTAACAGTAGGGGTGGGTATTGGCAAAGAAGTCACGATTCGATTCGAATCACGATTCACATGCGACGATGCGATTCGATCACGATGGATCATGATACTTGAAATATTGCGATGCGTTGCGATATTTTCACTGAACACTGTAAGAAAAAGATACAGCAATTACCAGTGGCTGACTGGCTGGGTATGATCTGGATAGTGTCTTCAATTGATACATCACTGAAAGCAACTGAATTCATACATAGCTGTATTTATTGAAATGACTTTTGAAGGTGTTGCCATTAAAACAAATACTGGACACAAATATTACTATTACTGGCATGGACACACTGCAAAAAGATCTTAGGATTCATCAAACTTAAAATAACAAAATAAGGATAATCAGTGCCGTTTACATGGCCTCAGTGGTCCTTTAAACCAATAAAACGAAAACATTCAAATGTAAAGTATATTTCCCCTTTTGCAAATGACGTGCATCATATCAATTTCATTTTTACCTTCTTTGTTTTTAAAGCCAAAATGCATCCAAGCATCTGACTTGAAATGTGATGGAGCCATGGGGCGAATTTTCATAGTGTCCTCCATGTTTTACTATGACTCGTCGTAGTATCCCACGGCCGGACATGCTTGTGACACAAAGCAGCGGGCGTCAACACATCCGCAGCGACATCTACTGGACTGGAAGTTGTATTCCACTTGGTTTGGCTGATGTGCGCCAACCATTAATGTATTTTATTTGTTCATTTTTTTTTATAATCGATTCTTGCCTTCAAGAATCGATGCAGTAGATCACAAAAATTAGAATCGCGATGCATCGATATGACGATTATTTTGCACACCCTTATGTATAAGGCACCTATCACGAATAATCTAGTTTAAATTTAAATAAGTAGCCTATGAGTAGCCTATTATTTCTATTGTGCATTTAATGGAAAGATGAGTTGCATCATGAAAAAGTTGGCAATTTAATTTTAATCCAATTTAATACTGATATTTACAGTTAACTGAAATGTAATTTCCATGGAAAGGAATTATGCTGGTTATAAGAAATAAGGAACTTAAAAAAATGCTTTATTTTTTAGGGTACAAATTTGTGAGAAAGAGCTGTTTTCAGGAAGAATCAAAGGCTTAAAGGGAATATGATAAATATCTAAACTTACTTTGTGGCAGATTTATTAGAAATGGCATATGTCCCTTCCATGGCATGGTTTTCCTGTGTAACATTTATGCTAAAACCATGTTTTTCAGATCTGGAAATAAATCCACTTTGTGGCACAGAGAACATTTTCTGTCAGCTGGAAAATAGGACTCTGATAGAATCATAGTCACTTGCTTGGCTTGTGGGTTTATTTTCAGTAAAGAAAATCAAAAACAAACTTAACTTTAGACAAATTCTCTTTCTTTGATGTAAGACTCACCTTGTTTCTCCACGTCAGAAAATCTACTCACAAACAAAATTAACTTTCAAATGGAACTTACTAGTATATATGTATTCTGTAAAACAGAATAAGAGCTTGTTTTTATTTCACCTAACTACACTAATATGCACTAACTCTGGACTATGGGAAGAAACTGAGTATCCAAAGAGAACCGAAACCTTTACAGACAGAAATAAGAAGAGCATTTATTTCTCAGAACAATCTTGGTTTAGTTTGTTTCTCTTTGTCAGTATATCAACAAGCCCTGAAATAAAATGCATGTTTTTCAGTATGAGATCCATAGTATCTGATGAAAATAAGCTTTGCTAACAGAAATAACTTGGGATTGTTTATTTATTTTTGTGAAAATATGCTGTGAAATGGTTATATTAAAATAAGCCAATTTAAATAATACGAAAACCGAAGGATCTCAAGAACACCGGCAAAATAGCAGAGATATTTTCCTAAATTTCTCCAAGAACATTGTATGTCACTCTCAGTATTTGTACGTTCCCTATGTCAACCCATCATCAATAAACAGCGTTGCTCAGGAAGACGGTTCAATTCAGCTTTCAGGACCTCCACGTCTGTCCTATGATTTCCCCTCTACTCAGTCCAGGTAGTTGAAGACAGACGGACTCTGTTGGAGAGCTTATTTAGTGAACAACTGCTATACCATTAAATGAATAGTACACCCAAAACATGATTAGCCTTCATTTTCTACTCACCCCCATGCTGAACAACACTCTGGAGTACTTTTTTGATATCTCAAATAAATCTGGAGATCTGGGAGGCTTCTTGCTGTCTGCTGACATTCAAATAATGGAGGTCTATGGTGACCGAGACAGAAAGGTCCATAAAAGTCCACAAAAACGTGTCAATATTCCTCCATACTGCTCGTCCAATGTATTCCAAGTGTCCTGAGTGGGTAGCATCCAGAATTTACTCGAAACGAAGTCATTTAGAATGTTTTTAGAGCATAAACAGTAGTTTATAGGATTTCCTGAAAGCGCGCACATGCGCGTTCACGAGCCTACGGAAGCCGGCAGACCAAACCAGATGAAAGTGCGCATTCAGCGTCTATTCTGCCAATAATGCAAGCGTAGAAGAAGAAATGTGCTGTTTACCTGTGCAAAGAAAGAAACAACGAAAGAAAAATGTCTGAGGACTTCAGTGTTGAGGAAGAGCATGAGTTCTTTGCCGAGCTGAATGCGCTGGTTTGGTCTGCCGGCTTCCGTAGGCTCGTGAACGCGCATGAACGCGCTTTCAGGAAATCCTATACACTACTGTTTATGCTCTAAAAACATTCTAAATGACTTCGTTTCGAGTAAATTCTGGATGCTACCCACTCAGGACACTTGGAATACATTGGACGAGCAGTATGGAGGAATATTGACACGTTTTTTGTGGACTTTTATGGACCTTTCTGTCTCGGGCACCGTAGACCTCCATTATTTGAATGTCAGCAGACAGCAAGAAGCCTCCCAGATCTCCAGATGCATTTGAGATATCAAAAAAGTACTCCAGGGTGTTGTTCAGCATGGGGGTGAGTAGAAAATGAAGGCTAATCATGTTTTGGGTGTACTATTCCTTTAAGGAGCATTAGCAAAGATCCTTTCTCCAAGCAGATGTCAGACTATAAAACCAATCACTTGTCAAAACCATTTAATTAAGTTTTTTTTTACTTTTCTAATATTAATCAAGTTTGTTTGCTTACCTTTTCTGGTTTTACAGGGTTTGTAAAGTGCAATGGTAACATACACCTTTTCTACATTTCTCAATACATAATCAGCTTTGGATTTCATTCCATACGTTGTAACTTTTTCAATGGAAAAAGATAAAATTATTATTCCAACTTCTATCTCTTTGACAAAACTAGAGGATCCAGAGAAAAACAAATCAGCCACAGATAGAGCTTAAGTATGAGTGCATTAATTACAAATAGAAGTGTGTCTTAGAACAGCAATTAGTTTAATTTCCCCATTACTTAAATGTTATATTTCTAATATCAGAAAGACAGTGCTGGCTGTGTTTAGTCACAGGACTATGAATACTGTACTATTGACTGACCATTTTCCATCATTATTAAGCTGTGGAGAAACCTGCCTTTGGGAGTTCATTAGCAGCAACCAGATTGGTTGCTCTGGTGTGCCAAACTTTAGTTACTACCCCAGTTACTGCCACAACATTTTTGAGAATTCTGAAACTTCATCTTGGTGAGTGGCGACCTAGTGGTTAGGGCATAGAGCTTGGAAGCCTGATGTTCTGAGTTCAAGACCCACTCCCACAGACTGCCACTCTGGGTCTCTGAGCAAAGACCCTTAACTCCACACTGCTCCCTGGGCGCCCCATGATAGCAGCCCACTGCTCCCTGACAGGATGTGTTAACTGTAGAGGTAACTTTCTCCAATATGAGATCAATAAAGTTAAATTATTATTTAAGCAGCTCCTCAATTAAAATGTCTGCATAAACACAGAAAACCTCTTCATATTTCCATTACTTCTACCTCATTTTGTCAAATAAACATGTAAAAAAACTGTATTGGTTTGACATGAGTGCAGGCAGGAGTTTTAGACCAAAACAAAAATAAATCCTCTGCAATGTTTTCGACATTTCTTGAGTCCCAGCAGGAGTATATCCAGAGAAAACCAACTTCATACAGAACATTTAGAAAAGAAGTTTGGATTTCTTTGCAGCTTTTTAGGATTTTTTTTTTCTATGTGGTGAACATGAAGATTTGCCAATTTTAAGATGCATTATAGGGCTTAAAAGATTGTAGCATATTTTGTTCTTCACAATATCAGTTTGGTTAGAGTTTTGAAAAACACTTATTGTGCCCTTTGACATGCTTTTCTCTCTTCCTTCCTTTTTTTCTACACTTTTTTCTGTGTTTGTACCCAGTCTGTTTGTTTCTAACCTGTTTGCTTGTGTTAATGATGCGGGGGAAATGTGGCAAAGCGAATATGACAACAGTCAACAGTCTGCTGCATGACTCCTGCTCCCAAGCTGAGAAGCAGCTCTCCGTGATTGGCTGAGAAAAGCTCCAGCTCCGAGTGGAGGCAAAGGATGCCAGAGTGTTCAGGCGATGCATGGAGGAAGGATGCATGCAGAGAGCGCAATGTTATGTGTTGTTGCATCGCTTTGCAACTTTCAGGAAAACATCTGCTGCGCGTCCAGCTCCGTCGGTGCAGTTTAGATGTGATGTTTTGGCTCCGTGTTGCAAAACCTCTGCTCACTTCCACTGCTGGCGACGCGTCCTCTCAGGAGTGATGGGCTCCAAGTTCACCCGACAAAGAAGTCTGGATCTTGAGAGCAAACTGACCAAGAGGAGAAACCAGCGAAATGATCATCCCAGGGAGGACGAGAGAAGTGGCAGCAGGAGCGGCGGAGACTTCTTGTTTACATCCCTGATGCTCAAGTCCGACAAGCTGCCGGGGATGCTGCGGAAAAGCAACCAGAGCCCCTACATCCAGCGGGTGGCCTGGGTCCGGGAGATCCAGAAGCTGCTCAGGGAGCAGAAGATGGAGCAAGCAGGAGAAGTGCTCAAACTACTGAGAAAGGTTGGACACTGTCATGACTTTTGCTTTCTTTGTTTGTTGTAAAAAAAAAAAACACAATGGTCAAGTCAAAGAAGCTTTATTGGAATGACAGTTTTAAACAGACTGTCAAAGCACAAGCGCAATTAATTTTTTTTTTTCAAATAGGCTAACTTTAAATTTTATCGCATTAAATTAATACTACTACTCTTACAATATATAAGGTAGGTACTTATCTAAAAGCTGAAATAGAATGGTTTAATTGAATAAGTTGTGGCCAAAATATTAATTGTCACCTTTGTTTCTTTTAAAAAAAGATAACTTTCCTAATATATGTGAAATACATTATAAATATATATAAGGAAATATATATAAGAAAATAATATAAAATATATATGTTAATGTAAACTTAGTTCTAATTTACTGTGAGTAAGATTTTCTATGAAACAATTCAATTAATAGAAAAAGGGGAATCCATCTTCAAATAAATCAGAGGCGTAGCCAGAAAATTTTTATAAGGGTGGCCAGGCAATAACCAATGTACACTGAGCCAAAAGTAGATAGGCACCAGAACCTCAGTGTCAATCTACACAGTTCCAACAGGAACAAGCATAAGGTTCATGTTTCTAAATAAAGACAAACTATAGTTTCCTACAGCCTTTGCTAACAAATAGATGCATATAAATAAACATCCATCTAGATAAAAGGTATATTGGATAAAATTCTTTGAGGTTTGAGTTCTGGAGCGAACATCTTTTTCATCGTCATTACTTACCTTGTTTTATCAATAACATTCTGCATTAAATTGATATTTACAAGTACTAATATCTACATAAATTAATCATTTAATAGGTTTTTATTGAAATAGTTATTTACAGTATGATTTCACTGAAGACTCTGCGATGTCTTGCAGAGACACATCATTTTCTCTTTATGGCATATAACACAAAATCTAGTTCTTAAAGATCATGAATTCTGTACTAATCATCTCTAATGTTGGTATATTGATTTTCATAATTAACCACAGTATTTTTGTTGTCAAGTAATTGTTAATATAGTATATAAAATTAAATAGTTTTGAATATTCTACTTGAGAGAAAAAAATGGTAGGGGTGGCCACAGGGGGGGCCAATGATTGGCTAAGGGTGCTCATGGCCACCCCTGGCCCCTGAAATGAACTCCTGATGATGACTTGAATGGAAGCCATTTTTTTGCCTTAGTTTCTTTTTGTTGATGATTTAATGTGTGAAACATCTTACTCCTATCAGCTTTAAAATATTATGCATCTAATTTTTGTAAATAATTGCCAGCTTCTACTGCATATAATGAAACACCATAGGAGCCTCTAACTAAACCACATGTACGTTTCAGTACCTGTTTTGTTTAACATCGCTTGCTGCAGAGGTTTGAATAATGTTTTGAGGAGAGTAATGCATCTCTAGCTCAAGCTACAGATATGATTAAGATTAACTTTGGTTGTTTTTATATGGTATGGAATTTTTTAATGGTCTTAAAGAAAGTATCCAATGTCATTTTGAAGTTTACGAGAATAATGGAGACGAGATACATTGATATTTTTTTCAGAAATTACTGTGTTTTTTCCTGGTATATACATTGGTTGATGCAAATGTGCATCTGCTTATTCATTAGTGCATTCAGCAGCCATGGCTTGACATCTTGTGTCGCACATCTCCCTTAATTGCCATAAATTGTTAATGTTTTGTTTAATTTTTAAATAAATGTTTCTTGTTGTAATTGAGATTTGTGTAACATTTGTTATTGTATAATTTTAATCATATAAATGTATGAGGAAAAAGCAATATCAGCTTAAAGAATCAGCCCCAGAAATCAGCAGCAAACATTGTAGATCAGTTAGACTGATAAAAGAATAATAATCGCATTGGCATTAAAAACCTTGCATTGCTCGATCTCTAGTGGAAACTGATAAACTCTGTGTGGAAAGAATCAGTTTAATCCTTCTTGAATATTTCTGTCTATAAGGTTTCTGTACATATTTGCAACTCCTGAAATAAGTAGAAGCAAAATCATGGTTGCTTCCATTTACATTTAGGGTCTTTGGCTCCATCGCCCAAGTGCCTCTAAGTAATGATACAAACCTAATACAACACACCTAATTCAATTATCTGAAAGGCTTCCTGAGAATAAAACCTCTACAGGTTCTTTCCAACTACATAATGATTTCATTCAGGTGTGTTGAAGCAGGTGCACATCTGAAAGCTGCAGGACCCTAACCCCTGAATGTGCTAGTAACCCATGCCTTAAATATATGTTCGTAACCCCTGCCTGAAATAGAACTTAATTTTCCAGGACAGCAATTGCATTTTCTTCTTACTTCTTCCCTCTAATGTCAACTTCAATAATAACAATGATCTACTGTAGGTTTTACTGCAGTTCCATGTATGGTGGGGCCGTACTGGTAGGATTAGATCATGTTGACAGTTTTTCAGGACACATTTATGGACTTCAAAATCACCAAATTGTTTTGTGCATTTTGTAACAATTTTACCAAGTGATCTGTAAAAATCCTTGATAATAAAAAAAAAAAAAAAAAAAGAACGATTAATACTATCATTTCCAGTACTCAGAGTCGCCCTGATACGTTTTGTTGTTTGTAAACTTTGTGGAAACCCATAGTATAGCTCAAAAACATTTTGCTGCAATCAAGTCAACCCATTTGAAGTAATTTTTAATGCTTTCATTTAACACCTGAGGTCTTTAATCCGTTTAAAACAAACACTGGCTCTATTTGCTTTGTGGTAATGTTCCTACACTCAGGAAATAGCCCAATAGTGTGCGGACTAAGGTGGACTAAGTTCGGTTGTTAACAAATTATAGAACACTTAGTTTATGGTTTGATTGTGGAAACTTAATCCCACACAGCTGAGGTCAATGCTGCAAGCTTGAGCCAAACCCATTTCTGCAGCCGCGTATGCATTGCATTCTGGAGCACAGTAGAGTTTATAACAAAATGGAATGGAAGCCTGCCTATTCTATGAAGCAGAAGCAATATTTTTTTTATATACTTCTCAGATAATTTGGCATTAAATAGTACAAAGTAACAAAATGGTTTCACATTTTTTTTGCATTCTTTTGCCCCCCACAACACAGCATCTGATTCCTATATTTACACATGGTTCTCTCAACACATGCATATTTGACCAACAAAGAAATTGAATATTCATTTATGGTTTTTGGTACAGAAAAGTTAATAAACTCATCAAATGATTCAAACCAAGATAAACAAACTTTAGGTAATAAAACCCACCTTGAAGTTATATTTCTGAATCATTGGGTGCAGTTTTAATCTGTTTGATCGAGATGGGCTTTCTTAAAAGAGCTTCACAAAAACTGACCGAAATAACTTCTTACAAATAAAACTAGAGTAAAAAAAACTCTAAGAAAACTGTAAACTTAAACAATCTGAATTCATAAAAGAGTAATACAGGTGCTGTACATGTTTTGTAGGCAAAAGGATACTGATGTATATTTTGAAGCAGCAATCTGTCACATTTCCGATCAACGGAAGATCCTCCTTCTGTTTCATACATACCAGATATCCATATCACCAAAATGCCACATTTCAGTCGCGCACGAAGCACAACTGCTCCCTCCATCACTCAGTGAGGTAAACCACAGCACTGCTACATCGTTTGGGCTGGAGCCAAGTGTCTGACTAATAACACTTCCAGATGGGTGGGGTGGTGGTGGTGGGGGGGTCGAATAAGTGCCAGTAGATCTCCTGTTGCAGCTCACCCACTGTAAGGCAGCTTTTCCTCATAGGAAAAGAATGTGGAGATAATCACCTTGAGATGATAGATGCAGGAGCATCTCTCCTTCTTTCACACAGAGGAAGTCATTGAAAACAGGAACCAATAATAGCGTTAAATCTTCATCAGGCATATGACTTCTGGGCCATCATTTTAATTAGTTTGGGGGTTATTCTAGAAATTAATTAGTAAAGAAAAACTGCACAGGAGTTTATACGGATAAAGCTGCAGACAAACTCATCTTGTTTCCTGAAGTAAAGAGTAGACAGGCAGCAGTTCAAATGAGGCAGGCTGTGTCATTTAATTAACAAAGAAAGCATACATTTGATTGTTTTAAAACCAGTTAATATACTTCTGTATAATATTTTATCACAATTACCACTAATGTATTAGGTTTCTCTTTTGCAGGAAAGCAAGACTGAGTCTTTCTGCTGCTAAAGTAACATTGATTACATTGAAATGATATTCAATTATTCAATTTATTGTTATTTTGTAAGACATTAGTGGAAAAATGTTTCTTAAAAGAACCATGTAGTTTTCAAGAGCTTAGTGTACTATTTTTACCATGTTTACATTCTTACCAGTAGTATTATTATAAAAAGCATCAGATAGATGAATATTTGGTCAGGCTAGCTGTCCGATTAGCAGATTTGATAAAAGCAGTAGCAATTCTTTTGTTTCACACAAGACAGCACAATATTATTAAATGTGCAGTAATGATGAATATTGTGATCCTGTATCATCTGGAAGTAACTAAACTTTTCCTTACTCTAATCTCACGCTCTCACTCCTTCCCATGTCTTCCATGTCCCCAACCTCCCCCTTAGCTTTAGCATTTCAGTTACTACTACAGATATTAGGCGCTGACATAAAAGACAGTGAAAGTACTTCCAGATGGCCTTATATGTTATAGGAAGGCAGAGTTTGAATGCTTCACTTTAAATATCATCCCATCAAATAGGTCTTCTTTGGAAATCACATACATAAGTTCAAATTCTATTAACAGCTGTGATTTATTTTTAACCTGCTTACTTGCAATGCACAGCAACAGCTGTGGGAGGGGCGGCACTGTATTACCCTTTGTAATTCAACTCTTTTTTTTTTGTATCTTAAAAAAAAAGATTTTAAAGCTACAGATTGTAAAGAAACCTGCATTTTTTAAGAGCTTTGGTAAATCTGGTCAAGAAAAAGAACCACATGCCCATTGTAATAAATGCTCTTTCATTTCTTTACTTTAATCTTCGAGCAAAACTTCTAAGGCTGCACAACACAAGAAGAATTGCATTAGCTTATATTATTGCAGAATGACTGAAGTTAGTGACATTAACCAGTCAGTTAGAGTGGCTCAGGTTAGCCAGAGCTATCTCTGTAGTTATGCAGTTATAGGCTTAGACTATTGGATGATATAGGGACCCTTTTTATCTTTTTGCTTCATTCTATCTCTATTCGCAATTAAGCAGAATTTGTTAGTACAATCTCTAACATAATGGTCTCTTTCCTTTTTCTCATAGTAGCTTCATCTGCACTGTTCCAGTTTGGCTGTGACACCATCCTGGAGAGAAATATCAACTGTGCTGCTGCCATTAACATCTTTCTTTATAGATGTTGGAGCTTGGCCTGTTTTTTCAGTATAGTCCTGTTTCTCTTACTATGACTGGCTGGATGTGCTCTACATCATCCTCTGACATGGGGTCTGGGTCTGGAGCTTGTCTGCTGGCTGTGTGTTGGACCCGCCTTTTACAGTTACTTTTTGAATCTCTGCTTCTGTCTCCTTGAACCCCTTGAACCTCGGCAGATGGCCGCTCACACTGAGCCTGGTTCTGCTGGAGGTTTCTTCCTGTTAAATGGGAGTTTTTCCTCTCCACTGTCGCTCCAAGCATGCTTGGTGTGAGGGATTGCCTTCGAGTCAAAGAGTCGATGCAATCAGCTGGTTTTCCTTAGATAGAAAACTTTGGATCAATTTGTATGATCTGGTTGAATTGTCACTGTAAAGTGCCTTGAGATGACATGTGTTTTGAATTGGTGCTATATAAATAAACTGATTCAATTATAATTTATAGTTCTTTCTAACAAGGCTGCAGAGTGGTGCTGTTAAAAGCATTGCTATCTTGCAGTACGAAGGGTTTATCCAATGTCCCTTATACTCTGTAAGCATTTTCATATTAGTTTCCCATATTTCACTTTAAGTCTTGGTGTAAAGGGTTGTGAAAGTCTATCCGAAAGGCTAAACATTTTTTCGGATATATCATTTGGATGCATAGCAATCATCAGTTTAAAGTAAAACGTACATTTGAAATAGTGCTGTTATTTTCAGACTATAGTTGCTTATCTTAAAGCGACTCTTGATACAAGAATCTTCTCACATTAGTCAGAAAAGTTTTGCTTATTTTGTGACTTAAGCCACTGGCCAGGATTTATCAACATCCGAAGACCTTCAAGCAGTAAAAGTTCTATTTGTTTACTTGTTGAGTGGAAAATATGTTACTTTATGAGGATGAATCACAAATATTTAAACATGACTGTGTTTTGCAAAGTATTATATAAAACTTTCAAATGTACAGTTGCTGAGAAGAACTGTTGCACCTACTTTTAATACCAGTGTGAGGGATAGCTTAGGCCTTGACAGTAATTGGGCATACAGATTCAGTCACTGCCTGTTCCAGCTGCAGGTCATGAAGAATAACATTTGAGTCCAGGATTTTTGAGATGAAGGTCCTGATCCAGAGGGAGGATCCGGATTAGGGTTAAACTAGACTAAGGAGTGCAGACTATATCTTTAAACTAGATGAAACCCAGGATTGTTTCAGTCTGCTTTCAAGAGGTTAAGGGACAGACAGATGATCCAGTCTCCTGTGATTACATCCATTATTAAGTAAATGTTTGAACTTAATCACTAACTCCTTTTTATTCATGACTTCTCTCAGTCAGCCAATAAATTCAGGGGTGGTGATATACTAACAGAAAGTCTTGTTATTTCACCCTAACAATTGGTAAACTTGTGTATATCAGGCCAGCAAACTAATGAGCACAGACTACAGGTATTGTTTTGAGTAGTGAGTTTAGCATCTAGCGTGAGGTTTATTCTGTCATTTTTTTAAAGAATGTTTTCTGTAGAGTGGTAAAAGATTCAGAGAGAGCTCAGGCCAAAATAACAAACAAAGCAACCATAAAAGAAAAAACAAGTGACTTACCTAACTCAAACTAAAACCAAAATATACAAGCCTACACAATAACCTACCTAACAAGCACATAAAGAGGAGAAAACTGGGGTTAAAAAAAGGGGCTCTCCCCTACAAAAAACGGTGTTACTAAAACAAAAATTACATCCATGTTGGGGATGTAACAATGAGTTTGTATGCAGGGTCTGGGTTCTGGCTACACTATGTTGCCATAAATGAATCCTGTGATAGTTTTTGATTTGGGTTTTCTTTTCTCTTCATCAGACATCAGACTTTGCTTGCAGCATCATCTTTATGATGATCACAACAGACTTGTTGGGAACATTAAGCTGTGACATCTTTAAAACTGCACTTTTCTCACCATATCTGTTTTGGATTTGATGAGTTAAATTCCAATGTCATTAACCTACGAATTGCAATGGAAAATCACTTCAGCAGTGAACAATTTATCAGCATGTCAAACCAGAGGATCATAGATCAATACAAAATTGAATTAAATGCAACCTCTATCATCTTACTGCTGCTGAATATTCCTTTCATCGAAGCGGAAACCTGTAGGATGGGATTTATTGCATTAGGCTCTATACGTTTCGGGATTGTAATGTGTGGGATGATGTTCTCCTGTTTAGAGATGCTCTCCGTATTCAGACCTGAAGACACGCAGCTTTAACGAGGACAGCTCACAGGCATCCTGCCGGAGACACAGAGCAGAGCAATTCATGCTTTTCACAATAAAAAGAGAATGCAATCAGATCTCTTTATATATCTTAAAGAAGTGTTTCTTTTTATCTGTTAATCCACCAGAATTTGATGCAGCAGCTGCATGGCACAGCGGAGGCACTTATATAATCACAAGACACTGTTTAATAACCCTCAATGCTTCTGTTTCTTCACACATGTGCTACCCTGACTGTGGAGGATATTTCAGCATCAGGGAATCCCACTGATCTCTGCTGTAATAAATCAACCCAGAAGCTGAGGGAGGAGAAACTGCTGATGGGGGTTTTTTGTCTTTGTTTCCTCCGTCCCCCAAAGCGTTATGGCAGTCAGCATATATTGAAGATGTTTTACACAGCTTTAGCCTCCAGGCTGCCATTTTAAAAGCGTTTCAGCTCATGGAAAAGCTGACAACATGTATTCAGCACCTCCGCAGCCTCTGGTTTCACCATAAACAGGCATATGATGGACAGAAACACATCTCTTATTTTTTTTTCTCCCTTTATGTTTGGTAAAACCAGTTATACCCATAATGAAAGAGTAGAGAAACACCTTCTTAGGTTTGCATGGCCTTAGAAAGTATTAAATTGGCTTTACGTGTAAAAAGGAACAATTTCCTCTAACCTTTTAATCCGACTAACCTTTAAGTTTCTGATTGTGTTGTTTCATGCCTTCGCTCTTTTTTTTTTCTGTGCATTTATTTCAGAATCTTAGTTTGAAACGAGGAAATAAAAGCACAAACCTACATTAGACCATTGTATTTACATAAACTGTAAATAAATTGTAATTTCATTTTCTATAGCAAAACTTAAAAATGTATTATTTGAGTTGTTACAGTAATATTGCATCTGTTCTCACTTGTACCCAGTTCCCACATGGCTCTCAGCTTTTTATATTATCTTCATATATACATAAGGACTGTGTGTAGTGGAGCTGCACAGTTCTCTGATGGGAAATCCTTATCTCCTTGCATAATGATAACAAGCTGAGATGAAAGGAGCTAATAAAGGAAAGCCTGGAAATCAATTTTCAATCTGTCTTTATCTAACAGCCCTTAAATTGGCTTTTAAGTTCCGTTGAGTTCAGATGTGTTTTAATGGTTCAAGTTTAGTGAGAGTAAGCTGTGCCTTTTTTAACATCTTTCTTCTTTTTCCCACTTTAGGATTTGGGCCTGCAGGGAACATCCCTCAATGACATTTTGTACAAGAACGCAGCTTTTCTCAACCTTGTGGACCCCATTTCTCATGAGCTGCTGCTCAGACTGGCTCGGGACCTGCAGTGCCCAAAAAAGGTAGGAGCATGCAAATGTGGTTGAGTTTGTTTGAAATGTTTCTGTCAGGTTTATCAAACAGCCTTGAAAAGTCAAAAATTGTCAAAAAGGGAATGTATTGTTGTTTGATATGCCTCATTGCAGGGATGTTGTACTTCTAGAGATGTCAGGGAAAACACATCCAATAAAAAACGGCAAACCTACATACTTTTTATCAAAGCTATATTCTTTCTAACTAAATATACTAATGCTCCCACAAAGCACATGGAATAAGTAACTGTAATAAAACAATTAATAAAAGCATTGAGGCCAAAATCGACTGAGTTCAGCATCTGATCCAAATAAAAAAATAATCAGATTGCCTTAGTTTGCAGCAATTACAACTGGTTAAAATTTTTGGAGCAGGTTAGACCACTTGTGATTCTTTGCAACTGTGCTGGTGAAGGTCCAATCAAACCTGCTTTATTTTGTAAGCAGCAATTTGCCAGAATTGTCATGAATCTACATTAAAACATAGGTTACGGTTATATACCTCCCGAATATATAAGTTCATCCAGACAGACACAGCACTCATTCAGTGAGTGTATTGCAAGCGTGGCAGACTTGGACATACACAATCGATAAAAATGTTCAATAAACAGTGAACATGGTTAGACCTCAGGAGTACAGAAAACAGATACAGTGGAAAAGCAAACTCCTTTGAGCTTGTTAGAGCAACAACTAAATTTATGTTGACTGCTCTGATTCTTTATGTTGTAGGTATTTCCATAACATACTCTCCTTTAAATTCCTCTCTCACATATTGCAACTTGTATAGAAGTATTGTTTTCGGCCTTTACATGATGACCGTCACATGAGCAGACATTTCATGTCTCGATGTGCCTGTGACCCACACATGCACACACACATGCAACTGCATAACAGCAGTCAGGTGGCGTTTGTGGCAAGGCCATAACGATGTTTTTCAGGGACCTTGGATTATATCCAAAATGTTATCATTTTGGTAAGTTAATGTTTGGACATACAAGTTATTTGTAATTAGAAATATTTAATAACATAAAGATGAAGGGGCATCTGAGAGCACCCTTCAGCAGGGGAGCATTTGCTTCCCCTTAACCCCCTGTAGATACACCCCTGCATGATGGAGACTACATGCAAAATAAATACAGAAAGTCCCAAGTTCGAAATTTCAATCAAAGACTCCCTTGCTTCAAACAAACCATGCCAACTGCCCCACAGATTAGACCTTGGGGCTTAAAACAAAAAACTGGATGGGACCAACAAGCTTTAAAAATAAGAACACAACAGATCTGTACAAAGCTTCTGTGAAGCATTGAAAGTCCTAGTGGGAAATAAGCATTTGTGCTCAGCCTACAGCAAACTTTCTCAAGCTCTTGTCTCAGAAGGGGAGGATAATTATGAGAAAGTTGAGGGATCAGCCTGAAAAACTATTCAGGAGGATTTTGTTCATGATCTGAAGGCAGCATGACCCAGAGTCCCCAAAACACTATCAGTAACACACTGCCCAGGATTGAATTCTTTCAGCAACTATACATAGATGGCCAGTGTTGGGCACGTTACTTTGAAAAAGTGATTAGTTATAGTTACTAGTTACTTCTCCCAAAAAGTAACTGAGTTACTAACTGAGTTACTCCACAATAAAAGTAACTAGTTACTAGTAAAAGTAACTATTGCGTTACTTTTGCGTTTCTCGCCCCCGTAACCCTCACCACCCGGCCCCCACCTTCTTGCCGTGTGTTTCCAAAGCCAGCTGAATAGAGCGAACGACAAAGACAAGAACCTGCAGAGAGTTTTGCATTTATTGCAACTCAACGTAAATGACATCAGGGGGGAACGCCATGTGAAGTTTTTTAACAGGGCATTCAGATCTGGTGAGTATATGAAATTAATAACTGGGGATGTCTAATTCTGAAATCCTGTGTACTGCAATATCTATCTATCTATCTATCTATCTATCTATCTATCTATCTATCTATCTATCTATCTATCTATCTATCTAAATCTATACTCTGTGTGTGACATAAAATATGGATCTCCATCCCTGCCACAAAGGCCATCAAATAATGTTTAAAATAAAAAATACAGTAGGTTGAGAAGGCAGAGTATCCATCCATCCGTCCGTCCATCCATCCATCCATCCATCCATCCATCCATCCAGATTTCTCCCTTTCTCCATATAGGCTATCATTTGATCGTTCACGCTCTCCATAGTTCTCCTGTGGCGCGAGCACAGGGCGACTGTTGCGCGCCTTTAGCGAGCATGCGCGTTTCCTGTCGCGTGTGCGGTGAATCGTGCCGCCTGCGCTGTGCGGAGATGCAGGGGAAACCGTATGTGATGGGGAAACGCAGCTCGACCTAACACCGATATTTCTATCAGGAAAACGCTGTTTTGCTGCTGGAGTCATCCTCACTCTCCATCTCTCTGTGTGTGCTGTACGTTAACACCCACCAGCGGAGACACCCGCCTACCCAACTGACAGACGGAATCTCACTATTCATCAGCCATTCTCATCCTCCCCTCTCTCATGACAAGGCGCGCACCTCTGGATGACCTAAAAATAATCTTTAATATCTCTTAAACAAAAGTAGCACAAACAATATTTTTTTCAGCACAAATCTGCGCTAACGTTGCACTAACCATTCAGTCTATTTGCAGTTTTTTGGCTGACGAGAAGCCTGGTGCTTGGTGTAATCATGAAGCCAGGAGGCCATGCTGAATATGCCTATAAAATCTGAACGATGACTAAGAATGGACTAATGTAGGTTACAGGTAATCACTTACTCCCCCAGCAAGGCATGAGGGAGAGGTTTACTCTAATGAGCAGCACCAGGGATGAAGGGACCTTTGCCAAAGCTACATTCTTTCTCATTATATAAACTAAAGAAATTCTCTCTGTAAACTCCTAGCTGGATCGCCATGATGTGAAATATATTTCTAGTTAAGTTCAATCAAAATCAAAGTGTTTCATCCTAAGTAACTAAACACAAAAATGAAAACAATGTGAAAATCTGTGCAGATTATCACATTGCTTTTCATTTCTGCAACTAGTCCAAATTTCTCAGTAGAATTGCTCAATAAATAAAGACGTCTACTCGAGTCAGTTCAACATAGTAGTAAAGGCAAAGTCAGACTCAATCTTAGATTAATTATGTGCTGATTCTAAACAAACTGTTCTATGTTTTTTAGAGTTGTGGCATTACTTAAAAAACTAATAAAAAAATATTTTCAGTGTACTAATAATTAACTCTTCAATTTTTATTTTTTTATGAAATATATCAGATAAAGTAGTTGGACAAGGATACTGTTTCACTTAAGATATCCTGTATACAGTCTTTAGAAACTTTATCATTGAGAGTCATGACAGGACAATAGTGAGATTAATGTTAGATTTTAAACACCATAATTTAACCACCTTTTCTCTACCAAAAGTGTTTAGTATGGAAAAGACTGGACCAATAAGTCGACTGAGCACCGAGGCGAATAACAAAAAACAAATGAGAACAGGGTCATGAAAGAATGACTGTTACATTTAATCAATGTTTGGAAATCTCTTAACATAATTAGAACAATTTGTCTTAAAATTTTCAGCCTTTTACTTAGAAAATCAACTCTGTAACTTTTTTTTTTTGAAATGTGAGAACTGACTGGCCTTGGAGCCTGGGGAGTTTGAAGTGCATGTAAAATTTAAATAGGTCATTAAGATGAAGTAAAAAGGGAATACTTATTTGACCTAAAGTGAACATAGTTTTTCTCTGTTATCTATCTCTCACACTTATTTTTTATTAAGTTGACAAAATGTAATATTTTCAGATTTTGCAGAATCATTTTTCCTTTAAACATTATAAACCAAAAACTTTAAAATTATTGTAAACATTTTTGGTTTAAGTAACTATTATCAACATTTAATCAAACCCAGCCAACGTCGCAGTGAAACAACGTGTCCTATATTATCTTATATTAGAATCCCATTGTCTTAAGAACATCTAAATTTTTTGGGGCCTTGGCTAAAGTCCACAATGCTTTAAGAGCCTAAAAACATCCCTGGTTAGGACAAAAGATCCACTTTTTATGATTATCTTTATTTGCACAGGAACCATAACTGAATAGTTATGGACCCATTTAGTTTTTACTTTTACATTTTTACTTTACCAATGATTTCAAGACAAGCCTCAGCCAATTGAAGATCACATTTTTAAATCTGCCTAATCAAGAGTTCTGCAAGCTGCAGCTCCAGGGCAGCAAGTGGCTCTTTGGCTCATTTATTGTTATACATCAATTATTGACACTATCGAATTGTTGGAACAAATGTATATAATGTTATCTCATATTTACTCATTTTCTAATAGCTTTTATAATTTTACATTGAATATATATGTATTTCCCCTAAAATTGCAATAGCCTGTTATTCATTTCTGTTTTGAGCTGTTTTGCAGAAGCTGAGACATAGTGATTTTGGAAAACTTTTGTACCAGTCTCCATGCTGGAATGTTATGCAGGGGTTTTAAAGAGGGGGTGATAGAGGACAGTTGCCTCCCCACTCTGGAAGGCTGAATCCTAGATAACATGCCGTTTAAGTACTTGTTCTTGTGTATATCAGTCTCAAAGAAAGTGTTGCTGCTGGTTTTCCCCTCCTCTTTAGAGCAACAACGTTCATGTAACTAGGGACCTCCCTAAATGAAATACAAAGAGAGGAGCAGCAGAGAGGGTTTCAGAGCAGTAGGAGATTGTAACTGAACACATCTTTGTCCGTTCTCCTCACGAGTAAAATAATCTAATGCTCTTGTCTTTCTTTCTTCATATGTTGATATATGATTTAGGTACTTGAACCTGAAACAAATAAAGAAACAAATAAAAAATCCCAATGTTTTTTTTTTTTTTTTTTTGTTGCTTGTTTCACTCTTTTTTTTTGTCTCCTAGAAAACTGACCCCCCTGTAAGTTTGGTCTAGAACTACCTCTGTTTGTAGCCTCATATTTCAAGCCTGTTGCTCATTTTTCTTTGTGAAATAGTTGGATGGAGAGCATATGTGAGACAGAAAAATAAAACTGAAAGATAGCCACTAAAATCTAATCAAAAGAAAGCTGCATTTTTTAAAGTTGTTCTTAAATGCCTTGATCATTCAATTGTGCTCACTTTAATAAAAAAAAGAAGTATTGAAAGATCAATTTGACAATTAGGGATGAGTGAAATGGACAAAGAGAGGCATTTAATCTGGTCTTGACCCTGTTTACTGCTCCAGTCAATCTCTGCTCTGTATAAAATTGGCAGCTGTGGTGCTGAAGTCAAAAGGCCTCTTGGCTACTGCGCTGCTGGGTCAGAGGAGGTCTGGCACCAACAGTAGGGGCACGTTAAGGGGTTTCTTTAGAGAAAGAAGAAGAAAAAACTTCTACAGTTCCTAAATATTTCCTCAAAACAAGGCCATCACATACCTATTTTTTTATTATTATTTTTTTCATTTTGTTGTTAAAAGAAATCCGGGATTTAAAACATTTGATTTCACGTTTCTCATGCCAACCATCTCTCAGCTCTCCTCATTTCATTGTGTTGGAAACTAGAATGGAAGCACTGATTCTTTAAGAAATGAATTGTGTTTTGTCCAGACTGGCAGTCGGCTCATTCAGTTGCAGCACAGCATACAAATCAGACATGTTGAAATTCAAGATCTATTTCCATACCAGGAATTTGAACAGAGGTGCAGGTACTGAGATGGACTGTAAAAAAAATAAAATAAAAAAAAATAATCAGAATTATTTAGGGTTAGATCTGATTACAAGAAAAAGATTTAAATGTACAGATACAATCATAGAGGTCAATTTATAAAGGCTGTCTGAAACTCTACTTTTATGCTTGTTTGCTTTAGACATAGAAGGCAGAAAGTGAAGTCCTGGCAGTGGTATGCTCCTAACTGGCCACCGACCCGTAGCGAGATACTGAGTCAAACGTGACAAGGATGTAGAGAGGTTGTGTGCCCAATTCGGGGCATCATAGCTGCTTCTGTGAGCAAAATTTCCCAAAATGCTGTAAATCATGTAGGTTTATTATTTGAATACAAACCATGTGAAGACAAAGACAGTTTTCTGCTTTTTCAAACAAAGTGTTATCAGTGTTATCTAACTAGTGTTATCTAGGGTGAATAAATTTAGTGTATGCTTTGGTTTGATGCACTCCTCAGTTTATTTAACACGGCTGGCTGTGTGGATCCATGCAGACGCTACACCCTTTAAGAAAACTTCCACTGACATCATGCTTGATCATTCAAGTGGCAAAACATGTTGAAGCGTAAAGCCTGTTCAGTTTTTAAGCTAGTAGAGAATAAGGCAGGAGGAGCTTTTTTTCCCCTCTGGATAAATTATGACACCCCCCACTCCCTCTTATGTTATTGACTTTTTCTTGTTAATTTGTGGCACTGATTATATTTACTCTGTTCATAATAAACTTTTGCATTTATGGTCTTTGATGAAGTGTTTGAATGAGGAAGTGTTTGCACCTTTTTTTGTTTTTTCTCAGTAGGGTGTTGTTTCCTAAGGATCAACAAAACAGTTTTCTAGTTTGAAAACAAAGTTGAGGACAGATCTTTTAAAATTCATATAGATTTGTAGCATTTATATTTTGTGTCACTGACTATAATAAACTACGATTACGTATGTTAGGGATCTTTAATGATTGGGTCACGTGGGATAGCCAGCTTGCAGAGGCATTGTATTTTTCATTTTTTATTTTTTTTGGTGATCCAACTCACAAATAAATCAGGCAACAGGTCAGCATTTGCAATACTGCTTAAACCTGAACAATAAATTCTTGTATGTGTTTATATGCATTAAAACAGAGTATCCATTAAGAACTGATAGATTTGGGGTTATTCTTGGATAGTTTTGTTGTATATTCTCAGCCATAAATCAGTTCTAAAACCCTTGAGGTTTTACATCTTAAATCCTCATTTTTTTGGCAGCTTAGCTGAAAATGTGAATCTACCTCTTGGCCAACAACCTGGCTCAGTTACAGCAGTTCTGTTTACAGGCCTGGGCCAAAATTTGAGGAAGCTATTGTAGGAAACGTTTGTAAACCTCTGAATTAAACATTGTTTTTTTTTTATCCACTTTTTATTTTTAATGACATTTAACAAATAGATAAAACATCATCCTAACTAATAAAAAAAGGAAAAGTTTTGGTTACATTAGTTTCAGAAAGTTATAGAAAGGTTGCCTAGGTAAATTCTCGGTAACCACAAACGTGCTTAAATTGGAAGGCAACCACACTTTGGACTCCTGTCCTATAGAAAGGTTGTGCCTTTATGTAGAGTTTAGGTAAAGGTCTGATTAAAAGTGTATTTTGTCAACCATGTTTTGCTTATCAAGGATAACTGTGATTCAGTGGACTTTTCTGTGCCTGTGTTGCAGGAAATGGAGTCACTCAAATCCACCAACAAGATCTGCCGGCAGCTGATTTACCACTTGACCCCTCACTCTAAGTGGACGAAACAGAGCGTGCCCCGAAGGAAATCCCAAGCCTGGTTTGTATGTGTGACTGAGTGAGGGTGACACTGTGCTTTTATTTATCCAAAGATCCACTTGCTGACACAGTGAAAGCAGCTGAGAGATTCCCAGCCCTCTGCTGCTTTGGAAAAATGACCCAATTTAGCTTTGAGGCAAGCATGCCCAAAGTCGGTCGTCAAGGGATGCTGTCCTGCAGCTTTTAGAGGTTTCGCTGCTTTAGCACAGCTGATTTTGATTATTGTAGTACAGCAAAAGCCTGTTGATCACCTATCAGTGAAAATCAGCTGTGCTGGAGCAGAAAATCTAAAAAAAAAGTGTGAATTGGTTTTAACCAACCCCTTCAGCGAATTTGGTTTTAAATAACTCTATCTCCTGATTCTTAGGGCTTTTACAAGCACTGCAACCAGTGTAGAGGGTTGCACCTCTAACTACCGACAACTCATCATATATGAAATTCTCTCCCTTGGAAATAATCCCTCCAAGGTTCAGAAATGACAGATTAATGTTTTCTTAATTAAACATCAAACCAATTGTGAATTGATTAAACATTAGCCCTGCTTTGCCTAATGGCTATTTCTCACTCTTGTCTTCTCTCAAACACTTTTAGCTCTTCTATTTGACATTAGCAAAGTCATGCAGTGAGAGAAATATTACTTAAATTAAAAATGATATCTTGCAGTTTGTGTGTGTCTAGTCTATACACAATTGTTGTTGACCTAAAGTTTTGTTGAATGAATACAGTTTCAGCTGTATTTCACATTATATTCTGCCTCCAGCTTGATGAGCAAGGACCTCTCAGGGAGCAAATAAGCTGCATGATAATTAAAGCTGATAAAGAAGTAAGTATCAGTGGCATTTAGGAAAGTCCTTAAACCCAATGAAACAGTCTCATTTAATAATTTTTGTTTTTCTCTCTACTCCGTCCCCCATAAGTGCCTGTGAAATATTTTTCAGTCACGTAAATTGACAGGAAAACTTAGATATAGTCCACGATTAAATTGTCAGGAGTACTTTTACTTTTTTAATATGTTTACAAATTGGAAAGTTTACAAAGGTGCTTTAGAGAGTGGTTAAAACAAGTAAAAAAGAGATAGATAAAATTATTAGAAAAATATGATTAAACTGCTAACAGAAAACATGCACAAATAATGAAAATAGAATAGTTGAAACAATGTTTCTTATAAAAAAATAAATAAAATAATCAGCATTAAAGACATTAGGAAGAAAAGTGTTTTAAAGTTTAACAGCCGATTTGAAAATAATACTTAAGCAGCATGGATTTGAATTTTTTCATATATGTAACTTTATCATTTTTCTCATATCAATGTGAGACACTATTGAGCACATCTGCTCTATCCAATAGGATTTCAGAATTCCATTTTTCCACAGTTCTTAAAATGCAACCTCCCAGCAGTTCCTTCAAAATGATGTCTGGACTTCTGGCCATGCTGTTGTAGTTTAAAGTTCTGTAAGACCGTTGTCCAGCTGATGACCTTATTTCTTCTGTCTGAGAGTTGCCTCTAACATTTGATTATCGATATAAGGAATTCTTCATGATAGGCGAAATAATATGACAGCAAAACTAGCCCAAATCCTCCACGAATACCTAATCCTTAACAACTCCATTCAGTCAGGTATTGTTGCTGCATGATGCAGATGTCTGGGCCATCCATATAAATATCTTCATTGATCTTTGTCTTGTTTAGTGCCTTTAGACATTTGTTTTTACATTGCACTGTATTAATGAACTAAATTGTCCTGCATACAAAACCCAATAATGAAAAGATGGACATTTATCTGAAAGGTTTATCATGGGTGAATATTCCCTCTCAATATAGGATAATGAACTTAACTTGTTTGGAAACAAACATTTCCTGATTGCTCATATCTTTTCCACCCTGTTTTTGATTGGGTTTCATCCCAACACACGGTTAAATATCCTATTAACGATTTTCAATCATTTCATTTTAATACTTACATTTTTTTTACTTAAATCTTATGGAAGTATGTATATGAATATATATATATTCTATCTGTAGATAATGAAAATACTATGCAGTATATCAATTTAAAATAGGGTAGTGTAGCTCTAACATTTTCAAACCTTAAATCCTTGTAAAGCTGTGTCTTGGTTTGGGGTCTGCTTCTCTTCTTTCATTTATTTGATCAGGACAGTGCACATTAATCAACATTACCGCAATGCACATGTGCTGTATTTAGCACAAGAGCTTAATCCTTTGTCGTCCGACAGATAATTGCAAAAACAGAGAAAAAAAATGAAAGCATGAAAGACACACACTGAATCAGGCAGGACACAGTTTGAACAAAAATGCACAGTTACACAATAAATACTGTAACTAACAAACAAAAGGCTGTCTAAAAGCCGAATACAGTACAAAACAAATAAGCAGTAAAGGACAGCATGAATAAGTAAATAAATAATAATAATCAATTTCAGTTGAAAAATTAAGTACTTATTGTTCTCTTTGATATATATTGATGCTCTATTCCGTAAATGTGCACCTCTAATAGACATCCTCTTATGGCTAAATTGTGCTTTATGCCTCAATATGTTGCAGTCTCCTTAGATATGCAGTTATCAGAGCTAAAGTACTTGACCAAGAACAGTCTAGACTTAATCATTCAGGTCTAAATCAAGGCTACATATTGATGTAATATTGAATGGTGTCTAAATCTGGTTTATGTGCAGCCTCTGTTTCAAAATCCTGTCTTTTGCTCAGAACTTCATTAGCAGAGAACAAAAGTTTGACTGGGTCCCCGAACATTAATGGTAAAAACACCCTGAAAGTAAAAAAACTGATTTTATTTATACAATTATCAGTAAATTTGTAATGAAAAATGTAACCCATATAATTTTATAGATAGTTCCAAATGGCATAAGGATAAAATTAACATAATGTAATGTTTGACAACTGGTCATTTACTTATTGGGTTTTACAGATTTTTTTTTAGAAATATCTACCTCACTCAAACTGCCCTTTTCAGACACACATCTAAAATCTTTGCTTGTTTGTTGTAAGGTAATTCGGTCTGGTACCAAAATGAAAGGCTGAAGATAAAACTTTGATTATGTCTAAGTGTTTAAAAAGAAGTTAAAATAACAAAATCATCCAAGCATAATAGAATAAAAATAAAAATGCAATGTATACATTTATCATAATCTTTGGATGATTAGGTCACATAAATTCTAACTATTTCAAAGTACAACACAGTTTTATGTATCAGTGGTTCCACATTATACAACACAGCAAATACAAAATAAAAAATTTCAAAAGCTTATTAAAAAAAAACATACTCAAAATTTAATTACCTTGTTTTTTTTAACGTTTTTTTTTTTTTTATTCCTGGTCTATAGTCTGAATTGAGACACAAAAGGTCCTTAAACAGGTGAAATATCACAACCATATGTATTTTTATAATGCACTGTATCATCACTTCTTTAAAAATTTCCATTTACATTGAAATCAATCTAAACTTACTTTCATATCTTTATATTAGAGCACACCTTTCCACATGGGATTCCTACTGGAGCTTTGTTAAAAATTTGTTTTATTTGTGCTTATTTTTTCACACAAATATATATCCTCTATTGGAGCATGAATCAGGGTTACATAAGTGTGTTTTTTAATTCTGTAATTGCACCTTTCTGATGACATAACCAAGCAATCTACTTCAAAGATTTAAACCAAGCAGGCACAAATCCTGCCACACCCTTCATTTGTTAATTAAAAGTGAAATAAAACAGGTCCCAACTCAGAGGAAGAGCTGCTGAAAAAAGAGCAATATCTCTTTTCTGGATGACTATTGCAGTCTAAAAAGTGAGTCCTTACCCCAGTTCAGTCATAACTAATATTTATACGCATAAATTATTCAGTCAGTGACTTACATTTTCAGAACTCTGACAGATTTTACTAAATAGCACAAGGTTTGGGGTTAAAACATGATGCAGAATGAGAACTAATAATTTGAAAAAGGCTCTTTGCAATGTTTTTAATTGTTCAGGCGCAATACTTTCATGGCCTGGTAGAAGGAGAGCTCAAATGCTGAGTGTTGTTGTGCCAAAAATAAAGTACTTTAATATAGAAAAGCTCAAGACAAGACATGAATTAGAACAGGACTAAAAAAGGAGCAGAGAATCGGTCAGAGAAATGGAGCCACACAGGAACACACCATAGATCATGAGGATGGAGGAGAGATTCCTGCAAAGAAACAATCACAACCAAACAGTACACAGGAAAAGAGGAGAGGAAGGCAGGGCAAGCAGGTAAGAATCAGCAACCTGAGGGAGAGAAAGAAGTAATGGGCTGAACCTGAGTAAAAGGAAACAAGAAAGAAATCTAAGAATAAAGTCTCATCAAAAGCAAGTTGATAGACAGAGGAATTATTAGAAAATATTTATTTTGCTTAGCAAATCTAATTAAATTCACCAAAAACTATAAAGCATAAAAGATGAAACGTTGCTTTCTCACAGCAGGCCATCAGGTCGTGCGATGAAAACAAGTGGCAGTGGAAAAATGCAGACCGAATTCAATGCTAAACATGCACATCTGAACTGTTTGTTCATAACTGTGAAATTAAAATGATTCTCAATTAATTAGACATGTTTTGCTATTTTTTGGAAACTCCTCACATAAAGAAAGATTATGAACCGCCTAAGAAATACATCCATTGTCTTTTATTCTACTGTACATGCCAGAGATACAACGCTACGGTCGTGCAAATATATAGAGAAAACAATAAAAGAAAACTTCTGCCTTAAAAAAAAAAAAAAAATGTTTAATGATTTTAGGTTTTGATTGGATTCAAAGATTAAATTCTTTAACAAACTTTCCAGTGTTAAAATAATTAACCCAAGGATGAAACAAGAATAAAATAATGATTGCCAAATATTTTAAGTGCATTGAAGATTAGAATCTAATAATTATATGTTGTTCTTTAGGGATTGTTACAACACTAATCAAAATTAAAAGATAATGCTTACTATTTTTTTTCAAAG